GGTCACTAACACCCACTTACTCTTGTCACAGATGACTGCTTTTAACCTCACCATTGGTACCAGAGTGGATATCTGACAAATTACTTCTGCACTGGGGACAAAACAACACCATAGAAACCATGTGTCCTGTCCACAAAGATGGACCTTAATGGAAGGATATGAGTGTTGGTGTTAGGAGACTAACATTTTGTAACAGATGTGATAGCCCAATGGTTAGGGGGCCAAGGCAGACCTTTTAAGTGCTGGACCATAGCCTAGAGGGAGCCGAAGACTCCTCCCTTTCCGGTCGGCTCATGAGTCCCCGGAAGGATGAAAAAATGAATGCAAGTCAATGAGGCTAAAAACGTTATTTTCTAACCCAATTTGCCTTACGCCCTGGATCGCTCATCTGTTGTACTTCAATTTAAATGAAAAGTAACAATGTAATGATGTGTGTGTGTGTGTGTGTGTGTGTGTGTGTGTGTGTGTGTGTGTGTGTGTGTGTGTGTGTGTGTGTGTGTGTGTGTGTGTGTGTGTGTGTGTGTGTCAAAAAAGCAATTAAAACAAAATTTATGTTTGCAAACTTGTATTACCCTAAACTCTAATTAGACTTTCTTATTTGTGTGGAGTAAATAATTGACATGGATACTGGGACTGCAGATCGGGGTTCAAATCCCAATCAGGTCATATCAAAGTCTTTGGAAATGGGACCCAATGCCTCCCTGCTTGACACCAGTTTAAGGGTTGGATTGAGGGTTAAACCACTAAATGGTTCCCAAGCGCAGCCACAGCTGCAGCTCACCGGTCTCGCTGGGACAGGTCAAATGCGAAGATATAATTTCACCACTGAGTGATGATGACTATGGGACTTTAACTTTAGACTCTGAATCAACTTTATTGTCATTGCCCCAGCATCCTGAGACATTTGTCTCTGTGGCACACAGCCTGACCAAGGTTAAACACACAGACATGCAGAACACAAACAGATGCACCACAAGATGTTTTTACATTTATCTTCTAAACTTATTTAAATTAGGACATTTTCTATTTATTTTGCATACTGTTTTGATAGCTTCTTTGGTATGACTGCTTTTTTCACTTTTTTGTTGCTTTTTGTCATAATTAAACTTTTTAAAATTATTATTACAGAAAAATAACAGATGTTTTATTATTTAATCAGAATCTTTCATTTGGAAGTTTTTTTTTCATACATTAATTTATTTTACAAAATAATTATGTCAAATATTTCACCTAAAAACTCACCTCCTCCGCTTGGCGTTTCCAGAACATGTTTGATTTTGGCCCGCTTTTATGTTGAATTTATTTCACAGTTTTCATTGGTTCACTCATTCCATCAACTCAATCCAAATGTGTTTCACACATTTGTCCTGTACCAGAATGTTTCATCTATCTTGTAATTTCTATTTTGTTATTTGTATTTTGTAACTTGTATTTTGTAATTTGTATTTTGTAACTTGTATTTTGTAATTTGAATTGCTTTCATTGTTGATTTATTCAATACATTTACCTACAACTGTACCATGTTCAGCGCTTTGGGCTTCCTGACAGGGTTGCGGAAGGCGCTTTATAAATAAAGCTTTGATTTGATTTGAATTATTTTTATATTCATTGACTGCCAGAGGTTACATATTCAAAAGATTTTTTGATACCCATGATAAGAAAAAAATCTCCAGGTAAAAGTAGGCCTTAAAAATATCTATAAAATAACAGACAAGATGTATAAATATGACATTTCAATGCATCTCGTTTCGAACAGCAATCAGGAAAACATGAACTAATTTCCTAACTTCCAAAATAACTTGATCATGAATTGCTGCTGCCACCTAGTGGTGAGAGTGTGTAATCACAGGCTTCACGGTTAAAATGTTTTTAATGTGAGAAGTCTAGAGCTTTAGTCATCATTTTAGAAGGTATTTTATATCATAAAATTAGTATCAACCTCGTGTAAATAAGAATTATTAATAAGTAAACAAACAACAGCTCCCTAGTTGGGATGCTGCCCCCGGACCCGGATAAGCGGAGGAAGACGACGAGTAAACAAACAAGTGTATAGTCCACGTCTTCATATTATTCACGTCTATTTGTAGTAATTTAAAGTGGCTTGGGGCAAAACACCCATTAGTAAAACTTTGGATTACAGAAACAGTGTAAGAATTGATAAGAGCATGTTATAAAACAATCACCTCACTAAGTCAAATATTCGGATAATTTACTGATACTACTATTTCTGTACTTAGCTAGAAATAAATCACTGATAACTAATGACTAATCACTAATGACTTGTCTTAGTTCTTGTGTTCAGATCAAATTATTGAGATAACTGAAGATTTGATTTTAAAGGTTTATTTACACAAACGCAGAAAAAAGATGCCAGTATCCAGCCAATTGATTGACTAGTAATCAGTAAAAATATTTTATAAAGAAAAACATACGAGATAATATAGTATAAGATTGATGCCATTGTTTGCAGTAGTTATTCAAGTAAAGAGGAAATTAGGGGAATCCTGACAAGACCTGTCGACCAGAGGATGGCGCCATTCGCTGACAGATAAATCGACGTACACACTGATGCTTCACACACCTGACCCTAGGGGACAGACCTTTTGTCTGGGTGCTTGGGTGGGGGGTTACTGGCCCCATTATGACCATATGCCACAAGAGACCTGTCACAGCAGATGAGGACCTCTCTGGTGATGGCATTACTGATTATGGAGCCTCATAAACAAAAGAACTTCAGATCAGTTTAATATTTTTACAGACTGTTGCTTCAAGGGATTCTGCTCAGCAATAAAAAAGTAAATTCAATGTTAATTATTTCTTCCTTGAAGCAAATCTGATCAATGTTTTAATGTTTAAGTCAAAGTTCAAATAAAAGAAGTCATTTGAGAAATTTCAGAGCTCAGCTCAAAACTCAGGTAATACTAGTTCCTGGAAGAAAAAAATTACAAAAACAAAATGGAAATACATCAGCAATGTTTACAACAGATAAAACACAATATCAACAAAGCTTGAAGGTTCCGTTTTAAGTGATAAAACTGCACGCGCATATTACTCAAAAACATTTGTTATGTTCCCCAGATGAACTCTTACAGGAAGTGGTACTAATTATAAGAATTTTGACCAATTTGTGGCCTAAAACGTCTCCATTTTAACAATGATCCACAGGACGTTATGTCTAATAAATCTAAAGCATGGCTCACTGCAGATCATGAAACTTCCCTGAACTCCTGGCACCATATTTCATCAATGTAAATTTAATTAACAAGAAATAATTCAACAATATAAAAATCCGTTGTGCGTCTGTCTTTACTGACAATTTTCAAGCATATTTAAGTGAGAAAAATACAATTGTAACTTTAAATAAGAAACATACACTAAGCATAGCATTACACTTATACACATTATTTCTAACAGGATGCACATCCGTGTTATTTAGCCAGCATATACACCAAATATTGACAGACGTAGCTCCAAAAACAACCTTACTTTTGTAACAACCCTAAAGTATCTATACGCAACAGCATTCGAAACAAAAAGCTACATTTTAGTTAAAAATGTTGTAAACACACACGCAAGCAGTTAGCACGTTAGCTGCTAAACTAGCATACCTTAAAAGACTAGTGCTATTTTACATAGTTGAACAAATGTCTTACTGGGTCAGCGTTTACTATTAATAAAGCTAAAATAAAAACAACAACAACAACACATGCTATAGTCTGACTTCTGAGAGAGCCATAAGAAGGTAATCCTGTTAGCAACATTAGCAAAGATGTAAGCCGGCTGGAATTTGACACGCGCATGGTAAACGCCAGAGCGGCTGGCGTTAAAACGATTAACTTGGAATTACTTTCTTCTGCTTGAAAGACGTTCTTTCGCCATAACACACAACATTTGTATAATAAGCTTTAAAACGCAACCAAAAGGACACAAACGTCTCGAGAGTCCCTTTGTATATGGTTCTGCTAAGCTAAGAAGCTAGCGCCATCGACTCGTTAGCCCAGAATTCGTTTGATGAGTGGGGAGTCCAAACAGGCGCGAGCTGAACTCCGGCGTACCGCAGTGTGACAGCAAAAATAGCGCTGTTTTTAAAACCACAAGCAAGGACATGAACTTGTTCCGCTGTCTAGTGTCAATTCCTCAAAATGGGGTCTGCTAACGTACGTCTCCGCCATTTTGTGACAGGTTTTTCATTGAGCAAAGGGGTACGTGTAATGGTTGAATGTAACCCCATCAAGAAGATATCCGCTCGGCAGTTACAGCAGAAAGGGACCAGGGGGAATTTCAGATAAAAGTCCTGTAGACGCGGCCACAGCTAGGGACACCAGCTGCTTCCCACATCCGCTTACCCATGCAGCAACAGATTGTACGAATATAAATTAAAAAATAATCATATTTACGTATAACACAAAATAGTATGGTCAGTTTATGTAATTACAAAAGCAGTACAATTAATGTGTAACTTACAAGCATGTTATTACATAATCAGTGTGTGTAGATGTTTTAAGCTTTGCCACTTAACAAAAATATTAAAGTTCAAACAAGTTATACAGGATAAAATATGTTAGGCACATAATATATGACTTCATACAACACAATAATTAATATGCAACTCATCTTTTGCAGTCAAAAGTTCGCAAAGTAAGTTTCTTTCATTCGTTTTTAAGTATATATTAAAATAAAAAAAATCTATAAAAAATATTTAGCACCATTATGACATGTGCATCACTATCCTACTGATACTGCTGAAATAATAATTTGACACCGATGTTTGACACGCAATTTTATATTTAAAACAATTAAGTAGCTACTATTATGCGCTTAATTGGAATATTACGAAGCTGGGTTAATTTGTTTTTCCCCTCCCCCCACGGGACATTTCCAAGAACCCTTTGACCCGTTTTCTAGGCAGCGGGCATGAATTGTCAGACGATCCCTAAAACAGAAAACTGTCTATTGTTCCAGCAGTCGCTCTACCTTGGAGGGTGCAGTACCGCCGGTGGACACGGAGGGCGCTGCACGCATGGCAGGCCGGGCTCCGCGGCCTTCACATCTTTTTGTCTGAGAACTGGATCCCTCTGCCGCTCTACAGTGTGTGCGATAGCCTCGGAGCTGCGTCCGTACCACACTGTCAAACCACTCCAAACGAACACAGCCGCGACCAAAAGCATTAATTCAACACCTTCAGCCATGGCGTTTCTAATCCACCGGTAAATCGGTCGTATTTGTGACCGCTCGTTGGAACTTAGTCCGTGCTTGTATCGGGTTTGCTTTCTGTGTGCATCAGTCTTTATTAGCGAGCTGCCGCTCTCTTTGCTATCAGCTATTTCTTTAACTTTTTAAACACTCAGCTTGGCGAATGACTGCGCGCCGGCGGAGTATGGGATCCTTGGTGTCTTAGGAAGCAACTGAAGTGGGATTTTACCGTTTTTGCATGCAAAAACAATGGCAAATTCGACGGGGAAAAATCTACTAGATCAGCGAAGGAAAGGACAGGCTTTCCTGGACGAGCTGCGGCAATTTCACCAAAGCAGAGGGTGAGATTGGGGTGCCTTTATTTCCAAGAAATACAACTTTAACTACAAATTGCAATGAAGGCGCGAGTTCCCAAAAGTGTAATTTAAACATGTGTGGCTTTATTTCATGTGTTATTTCAACAGATCGCCGTTCAAAAAGATTCCTATCGTGGGTGGGAAAGAGCTGGATCTGAATGCACTCTACATCAGAGTCGTCTCTTTAGGTGGATTTGCTAAGGTGAGTGGGAACCAAAAGTGTCATTTCTCCACTTTGCCGTCCGTGGACTTCTCACCGGACTACTCCACAACTCTGAGCGGTTAACCCGGGACAAGTCTCACCCTCCAGAAAGCCGTTCCAGTGGCTCGGCGTTGGCCTTGTGCTAGTTTACCATGTATCTCTATGCAATGTGGTGGCTTGTGTTGTTGTGTGGTATGAATTGAAGAGTCCAAAGCGCTCGGAGTCAGAGTGCAGTTGGAGCGACTCAAAATTAGCGGGCACGTTTACCATCGATATCGGCACGGAGCCCGGCTTCGGGGAGCACCGCGTTGAACGCGGCGCGCTGCCCGGGCTTTCGCCAGCAGTTTTAACCCGGAGGGAAGCTTAATTTCTCGCCATAGCCATCTTTCTTCGGCTTCATGGCTGGCCACAGAATGTAGGCCTCACAGGCCCATGTAACGAACACAGTAAACGGGTACATACACTGACTCCACAACCCAACGGCTCGCCGCGAGCGCTTTCTGCCCCGGCAGTTTGTTGTAGTTTGCCTCGCGCGGTTTAAACGCTCAATTAGCAAGTAATCAAGTTAGCTTGTTAGCTGTGTAGCTAACTAGCCTAAACTGTAACAAAACCGTTCTAAATAGTTATTTTAAATGCTAATAACAAATACCCGCTATTACATAACAATATAGAGACTATTTTAAACATAACTTCTAAAGGTTATGCTGGCTTTATCTATTTTGGGTCATTTCCTGCAGTTTGAGAAAGTTATTGATAAGAGGTTGTGACACTGTCTCAATGGAGAACCTGTAGCAGAGGGAGCAGCTAGCTGCCTTCACTGTAACCGTTCTTTGTGTTGTTGTTACCGGTGTTTGCTAACCAGCAGACCCTTTTATCATCCTCTCCTCAGGTCTCTGATAAAAACCAGTGGGCTGAACTTGGAGAGGAGTTTAACTTTCCCAGGAGTTGTTCCAACGCAGCATTCGCTTTAAAACAGTACTACCTGCGGTAAGTTGCATGCAACTCTCCTCTCAGGTAGCATGTGGGAAGTGTTTACAAATGCTAAGATGCAGTCAGCTGGATGCAGCCTCGCTGCTTCCCTCTGCTTGGAAGCTGCACTTGTGGAATATTGCAGAGGAGGTTTGAGTACTACTTAATCCACCAGAGAAGCAAACACTCGGGCTGAGTTGTCTTTTTAAACAAAGCTTTTGAAAACATTGGTTTTAGGGCGTTTTGACACTTTTAGCCCGGGGGCTCTTGTTGATGCCATGTTGAATGGTTCTGGATGCTCTTACTTGTATCACATGCACACTTCGAAGTCAGTCAGCTGCCATTGAGCAGAGTCTGTCCCCCCCCCCCCCCCCCCCCCCCCCCGCCCCATCCAACAGCTGGCATTTGTGGTTTGTAGTGTTTTTTCCATCACTGTAGTGTTCCCATCACTAGCACCTGCCCTGCAGAGGTTGCACCTGTGCAGCAGAGAAATGCTTGTAGACATTTAGAGACAAGTGGTGATAGAAGAGGCCAGCATTGTTTCTTTATATATTGTCAGTGAGCGGTGACAGGATGAAGCTAATTTTATGACTAACTGTAAGGCAGCTGATGAGACTTGGAGCTCATCGGAAGTTCAGACAGCTCTGATGGATCTATAGAGCAGAGTTTCGTAAACTTTTCAGCTTCTGACACAAAATTACAGCAGCTGAGACTCGTCACCACAGCCACCAACGGTTAAAAAAAAAGTGTAAACTCTACAGTGACATAAGGACAACACAAACTGTCCACTATTTTACTATCTCTGGCCAATTTATGACAACTTTTTATAGAACAGTTGTGGCAAAATATCCATTATAGTAATTTTGTGGGTTCTGGAGATCAAAAAGACCCACATTGAGGTCCTGGCCCTAACTTTAGAAACCACTGGGTCAGAAGGGGAGGACTGGTTTGAAGTATTTCAAAAAACAAACTGGCTACACTGCTGATGGGAATCCAGAAGTATTAGGTATTAAGTTTATAATCTATAGCTCCTGCAACCTGCAGCTAGTCTGAAATCTGCTTGTATTTTTAACCAGAAATGACAAGACCCTGAGTGAAGTTCATATTTGAACGGATCTTAATTTTACATGAAAGTCATTGTTTTGTCAATAAAATTACACAAACACCACAAATAGGTAATACTGTTCTTGTATCAGTAGGTAGCTTTATTTATAGCACTTTTAAGGCCCTGTTGGGTGTTTATGTTGCAGCATTTATCAGATATCAATCATTGAGTCTGCCCTGGTTACTTCTTAACATCATTTCAGTAAAGTACTGGATAATCTTGAAAACCCAGTGTGAATGGGCTTGGAAAGTGCTGGAATTTTATTTTATCAGATGTTTCTGAGACGCAGAGCAACTGCTCTTTCATTTTGCAGAAAAAAATGTCCTCATACTCCTGGCAAAAGGCTGTAGAACAGAGACGTGTAGAATCTGGTGTTTTCTGATTCGGGTACATCTCTGACCTGTCGACGCTGATATAACTGCAACAACATTTTAAATAACTGAACACACGTCCACATGAAAGGCCTTTCACTGCTAGAGTTATTTTGCCGTTAGTGATGCTTGTCAGCGGTGCATTGGTGGACCTGTGGGAAAATGGGATTTTTGAGCTTCACCGTGGCTGATTATTGGCTGATTTCACCTGCCAGTAAAAATGTCTATTTTTCTATAAAATTTGAGAACAGATATCATTCTGTTTAAGAGTTGTTTTCTTTTTGCCAAACACATAAAAGACAGTGATGTATGAAATGTCCAAATTAGTATTATCTCAATTTTACGGGCAACTAGATTTTGTGGCTTCTGGGACAGACTGCTGACCCCCAGTCTTCTTGGATGGTCTGATGATTATAGAGGTGGTGTTTGAGTTCTTTCTACCAGTAAAAGTAGCCGTGACAGGACGTGTTTGGTTCCTGTGTTGCTACTTATCCTCACAAGGTCAAATAAACACCGACTGATGTTTTATTTGTGACAGGATGGGTGAAAGGTGCATCAGGTCCCAGAGTTTTCACCTGTTTTACTTATCAAAGTTACTAATTTGAAAATACGTGTGGAAGGAAGACACAAGCTGACAGCTGATCCCTGTGTGTCCCGACTGCCTTCCTGAGGTTTATCTGTGGCAGCTTGGTGTGTGGATGGCAGAGACTCGTCTTGCATAAAGTGACACTGATAATAGAGAGGCTGGCCTCACCTCCCTCTTGCTGCTCCCTTTTTGCTGACAGTGTGGTGTGGATATATTTTCTATCTCCTCCACACTATCCTGGCGAAAGTGACTGGATATTAGAATCACCGTTGAGATCTCCCTCCTATGGTTCAGAGCAGGTACGGTTTATTTGATCAGACGCAGGTTGTCACTTCAGGACACTGGAGCTGGGTGGATGTTTGCTAACATCAAGTTAACCTGATTATCCAGTTGAAGGACCATCAAATAACCACTGTCCGCACTTTTTAAAGCTCATCTTTGAATAAACCAGTGGTTGGAATATAGAAAGGGTTTTTTTCTGCTTCCTTGAGCTGATTTCAGTGTAGTGAGTAGACCATCTGTTGATGGAGTTGTTTGCTCTGAATGAAAAGGATGATCATGACATGGTGCTCCTGGGTCATCACTTCCCACTCAAGAGCAGAGCAGTAATGAAGTTCGGTGCCAAACTGCTGCTGCAGACTATCTGATTTCTGAATGCTGTTCTGTAATAAGTGAGCGCTCCTCGCCAGAAACCCTTTTCTCCTGCTTATTTTCAACCTGCTGAAGCTTTGACGGCTATCACCTACCAGCAGTGCTGGTATTGTTTCAGCTGTGAGCAATGAACGATGCTGGATCAAAGCCTCGGCATCAGCGAACACACCGAGGGCATCAATGAAACGTAGCTTTGTTCTTGGTCTGCTTCACCCTACATCGTAGGAATAGGTGTGCATTTTACATGAGGGGTGTTTAGGTGTGAGTTGTGGATCATCACTGATCCCTCAGTCAGAACTTTCAAAGTTTGATAAGTGGATGGACTGGGTTCGGTACAGAGCTCAAAATTTTATGTTTTCTTCAAACCGGCTCTTCTGCTATCATTTTAGATGGTCTTGGTTGGTGCGCTGACTCCTCCAACGTCTCCACAGCAGTTGTTTCCTGTGATACGGAGGTTTGCTATGAAATCTCACCCGGTGCAAGGGAGGATTTTTTTTTTCTTTTAGGAAATTGCTGTCCAGCTCGTCCAGCACACTTTGTAATTAAGGAAAGAATGAAGGAAGTTTTGAAATAAGCCTCCTGTTGTTGTTCTTCAGGTCTTCTCCAAACTGCAGCATGCTCTACTCTCACAGCCAAGTCCAGTGTTTCCCCTAGGAATTTTTCCAGCTGTGGCGGTGGGGCCGGGGGGGGTGCTTGGGGAGAAATTATGGCACGTCTCTAAATAAAGTAAAAATTTCTAGTGCAGAGAGGAGACAACCCATAGAAGCACTGATTTGATCTCATTTCAGAGAAAAATAGAACAGGTCAGATGCACCTAATAAATAAAATTACTAACAAACTCAGGCATCTGTTTATTTGCTTCACTGTTCTGGTGCTGAGAATATCACTAATGCGGATCAAAGGAGATACACAGATGAATGCACCTCTTATTTATTATTTGGAGACTCAGCTGGCAGAGGCAGAGATTTTTTCTGTTGATACACGGAATTTACAGAATCATTTTAAATGTTAACAGGGGAAGACTGCAGGAGGGAGCGGTAAAATACAGGGGGTCCCCAGCAAAAACAAGAAACTACGTGTCTGATGAAACCTGCTGGTTTTCCATCAGGCAGTCACGGGGCAGCTCCAACGACCCAGTGGCTGTGCTGGGTCAATGTTGTCGAGCCCAGTCCAGTACCGGCTCGGCCGTGAATGAGCCTAGGCGTCGTCGTGCTCTGCTTAAGAAGAAGCGTCCAACGTGTTTTTACGCTTTCTCCGAGACATGTCACGTCGCTAAGTTGTTAGCGCCGCGCGCTAACACGTCAATAGTGCAGCGTAGCCTGCTGGAGGTTTTAAGGATTCAGATGAAACACCCGATCTCTCAGGCTGCTCACGCATCGATCTTAAGTTGTCGCTGTTGGGCCTAAAGCCGTAATACAGTATTAGATGCGGTTAAAGTCAGACATGAGAAAATAAATAAATTGTACATGAATAAGTGATGCTTAGCCTGGTGGGGGGAGGAAACCTGGCTTAATAAGCACTGGAGGAAACCCTGTCAAGATCGTCAACACTCGTTTATCTTAATGCTATTGAAACATGTAAACCAAAAAGCATTATATCCACTGCTACCTTTCTAATTTTAAACTCAGTAACTTATGCTGTAACTTCACCTTGCCCTGCATACTCCTTGCTGCCGCCGGCTGTGATCACAAGCAACAACATAGTAGTTCCCGCTGCTTCTTTGGGAAACTGCGCAAAAAAATAAAACATGGGATCTTGTAGGCGTGGCGGTGGGATTTCAGCCATGGCGGCCCGCCACGGCCACGCCTATGTAAGGGAAACCCTGAAGTCAGCGGACTGATTCCACTTTTGTTTGTTCTCATTATTTGCAGGAAACCAGAGTTTTAAGTTCCTGACATCAAGTAACTCTTGTTTTAAAAGGAATTTTCAGCTATTTTGAGTGTTTTTCTGTGTAAAAATAATAAGTTACCCTGTTGTAGATGGTAGCTACCCGAACAGCCTCTTTTGGAGTTATTGTTTACATTGTGAATACACAGGTATCTGTCTAATACCGTCAGTGTACTCCTATTCTCGCTGGTGAGTGTTCTGATACCGCAGAACTAATACCGGTTTACTGTAGTACGACTTGCTAACCCTTTGCCAGTAAATTACATTTTTTCTATGTTGACCATTGGCTGAAATAATTTCTACAAGCCAATAAATTTAAAAAAAATAATTGGGCATCTGACGTGGCCAACCACTGCCACTACTAGACTGAAGAAAGGACCCGAAGGACCCCAACACACTGTTTTTATTAAATGTTTTG